AAAAAAAAGCGAAAACAAATTTTGGATGTTAAAAAAAAAAGTGAGTGATAGACATAATAGTTATATATTAATAGCATTAAATATTGACTGAATTAATTGGTCAAACTGACCATGCATTTTTGGTCAAGCAACATATGGATCACACTGAGGGGTCTAATGTTAAGAACTCAGTAAAAACACATTTTGAAATGCAAATACATTTTGAAGAGTGATTCACTAACTATTGGACAGAATATGGATCAATTTGACTGGCTAGTACATGTGGGCGAGGGGGCACCGACCTGAGGCACTCCACCAAGCGCGAGGCGATGGCTTGGCGTCTCATCATGCTCACCACCCAAATGCGGCTGATCCCGCAGAGCGCCGGTTCGGCCGTGGTGGAACAGCACCACGCCCGCTGACGCTCAAACATCACCTTCTCCCCCTCCGAGCCCTCGGGTTCGGGTTCTTCGATCACCCGGTAGCCCTGCGCAGAGCGTCCCAGCGTGCCGTGACGTAGGCGTGCTGAGTGTACAACTTTCTACCGTCACGTTGGACTCACCTCGTTGATGTGCTCGGCTATGAGGCATCCCGCCACTTTCTTGTCATTGGTGATGAAGAGAAAAGTTTTGGTCAGGGCGGGAGACTTTGTCCCCACCTGCTGGAAGCCGAGGTCATTGTCCACCATCTCCCGTATCTCTTCAACCTGAGCGGCGACAAACGAAGTCAATTGGCGCCTTTATGTACCATTAAGGGACAACAAGTTTAAGGGACAACAAATTTACTTTAGTGCAGAATTAAACATGGCCATAAAAGCATCATTTTTGGTATACTTCCATAACACTTACGATTGATGACAATATAGTTTGAGACCTCTGTTTTAGTGCGTTCTTTACAATATCGCTAAGGGTAATTTTTTGTACCTTCTTGAGAGCATATTTGGGATCATCAGGCAGGACCAGGATGATTTTGCCGTCAGGAAATTCTCCCAGGATCCTCTCCTTTTTCCAGCCCTGGCAATCACAACATTATAAAACAGTCGACCAGTCAACAATAGTACTGTTGAGATACATCTTTTTTTCTCATTCAAAGTTCGTTTGATCTGCAATTCACCGACAGCGGTGTCAAAGAATGGGAATCTGGAGCACCAGGAATAGCATTTTACAATGGTACGTGCGAGCTATGATAGGGATGTTTGTGCACTTAATACAGCCCTGCCTCCCCGTGGCAGCGATTTCCTTCTTACAAACTCAAGTCTTGCTTTGTATCTAGTTCGTTTTTCTGTCGCGCGCGTGTGTGTGTATGCGCGCACGGGCGGTAAGGTTGGGCATCCCTGTGATAAAACATCCAAGTTTCTCATTGTATACGAGATGACCCAATTGATGACAAATCTCCCTCCTCTCACCACGTATTTGACGGCACTAATGAATTGGTTGTGGAAGAGCAAATGCTGCGATTCGTCCTCAGGGTTGGCGGCGGAGTACAGCATCCCACACACACTGCAGGCCACAGCTCCAAAGTGCTTCTGTCCAGCATCCTGTGTTACGACGACAACAGAAATGCATGCTCGTATCCCAGTACACGGACTTGACTCCTCACATTTTCCTTTAATTGACTTACATCACTAGTTTGGCTGTCGTCTTTGTCTGCCTCATCAAGTTTCTTCACTTCTCTTTGCAGAGTCTCTACGTCTGGCTGCTTCGCCGCACCACTGCAAAAAATAAAAATAATGAATGCATATCACAGTTGTTTAGAGAAAAACAGTGGGACTTACTCTTGATCGGAAGTTTCTGATGCATGGTCAACCTGGGCTGTCTTAGAGGTATCATCAGTCTTTTGGCATTGATCAGCGACTGTTGGAAAAACAATTATTGTACACCACAAAAGATTTGAAGTCGGGGAAAAGGTTTTTAAAAATAAAAAAAAAAGAAAAAGTAGACAAAGCAGACCAGCAGGCTTTCCTTCACATTGCTGCAAATCAGGCGGATTAGAGCTCTCTTCCGAGGGAGGGGGACTTTTAGTTGGACTTGATGAAGCAGGAGTACCCTACAAAAAATATAGAGATTTTTATTTATTTTTATTTTAAGTACAGTACCATCAAAATGGTTTGATATCTTGAATATTATCTAAATTTGTTACCTTGCATTCCTTGTCTGTTGATGCCTCAGCCTGGTGGGTTTTCGCAAGACCTGGCACGCCATCAGACGGAGGACCACAAGGCTTCATCTGGGACATGTTTGAAGCCACTGGCAGGTTGGTCTGAGCTGAAGCAGGGCCAGCTGTTTTTAGTTGGGGCAAAACAGACAGCGCCTGATGCGACCCTGTCACGGCCGAGTCGGGTTTTGATTGCAGAACTGCATCAGAAGGCGACGATTTGGCAGGAGCAGATGTAGCAGAGGCGTTTGACTGGCCAGTAGGGGCGATGTGACGTTGTGGAGCAGGAGAGCAGGTGGGTTTGGACTGAGCTGAGGTTGAAATGGTGGGCTTTGACTGACCTGGGATCTGTCCAGCAGGAGTGGTTGAGGGTTGAAGTTTTGCTCGGCTGGCAAGCTGAGGTGTGGCGTTCGACTGGGCCAGGGGATTTGACTGACTGCGAAGCTGGCCAGGTCTAGGCAGAGGACCAGACCTCTTTGGAGGAACTGGTAATGGGTCATCGTCCAGTTCAAAATCATCAGGTGAATACCTAGGGCGCGGTTTGTATGGCTTGTACTCAACTGGCTGCGGTTTTGACGCTTTAAGTCCATTGGGCATGGGTGGGGGGACAGCCGGCAGAGACCTCCTGGCAGATGACCTGGTGACTTTAGGGGTGGGAGTTGCAGGAGGGGTGACCTTAGCGGTCTGAGCCTTACTACTTTGCCTTGTTACTCTTGTGATTTCGACTTTCGGCAGTTCAGTCGGAGGAGTTTCTATTTTTGCAGGTTGAGTTTTGCCTTCTGGTTCTGTCTTGGAGGCATCCACTTTGGGTGCTTCTGTTTTAGCAGCTTCACTTTTTTGAGACTCAGGAGCTTCTGGCTTGGGTGATGCAGGTTTGCTACTTAAGGGAGGACTTGGAAGGGAGGATGAACTGGCTTTGGGTGCAGGGTCAGTGGTCGTGGCATTAATGGTAAACTGAACTGGCGTAAACATTGATGCTTGCCAGTCCATGTCAGAGAACATTTGATTTGCTTGGTCAGACTTCATTTTCTTCATGCGCGCCCATGACATCTTCTCCCTTTGCAGTTCGACCTGTCTTAGCCTTTGATATCGAGTTAGCTTCTTCTTCTCATGGGCCTTCAGAGGCACAGAAACTTGTGAGACAAAGAAACGCCTCTTTGGAGGGTCCACTGCCAGCTTGGATTCAACAGTGGGAGGCTGCACCGCAGGGGGCTCCTCTACAGGAGGCACCTGCGCTGAGAAGCTTTCAGGTTCAGCCTGGGGCTTGAGGTCAAGAGGGGCCACTTTATGCGCGCTCACAGATGGATTTTCCTTCTTGGCGGCCTCGCCTTTGGCTACCGCTTGTTTTTCCTCCTCAATCCTCTTTAACAGCATGCTGTCTGTGGCTATATCCTCTGCAATTTCCTGACACAAGGCTAAAAGGTTGAGCTGCTGTCTGTTGGCCGTCTTCTTCATGGCAGCAGCTTTCTGTTCTGCCAGTGCGGCCAGACGCGCTTTGGTTCTTGCCTGGGTGTTCATTTCTTGCTTCTTGGGCTTCTCAAGAAGAACCTTGCTGTCACCGTCTGGCTTTAAAGATGAGTTGTTGGTCTTTGAAACATCTTCATTTTCAATCCTTTCCAAGGCCTTTTGAGGAGAAGGCGCTTGAGTGGCAACTTTGTCAATAATTGTAATGTCATTGTTTTCTACATTCCCGACCTCGACCACTACGATCTCATGTCCAATCTCCATGTCTTCCAGAATTTGCAACTCCTGGAGGGCAACGTCACCCCCGCTGTCCTCTGTCGCCACAATATCCTTACCTTGAGCTTGAGAATTGTCCGTTTCTATCATGACAGATGAAGGTTGAAGCAAGTTGTCTGATGGTAACTGTTCTGTAAGTTCTTTTGAAGGTGGTGCGCAGAGACCTTTTGCCTCTTCACCTGAAGGTGTCCCTGCAGCAACTTTGACCTCAGGGGTCGGCTCTTCAGCCTTCAAAATGCAGGTCTGTTGAGGTCCATTTGGAGCCGTGATCGTAGATTTTGGATCCACTTGGGTCACCAAACAGGGGTCGGACAAACCCGATGCGACTGCAGCTTGAGAGACAATATCTAAGTGAATTTTGCTTTCTGGGACTGGCTCGAGAATGACATATTCCTCAGATGCATCATCTGGTAGGTCCGCTGCAGGGAAGGCCAAAGGTGTCTTCACTGGGAGGTCGTCTTGCAGGTGGTGCTCAGAAACCTCTGCAACAACCGCACATTCTGTAGAAACACTTTTGTCTTTGCGGGCAAAATCATCTGGTGAATTGATCGTTGCAGCTGATGGTGTGGAACTCTCTGGAACTGTAGAAGTCTGTTGTAGCTCCATTACTTCAACTGCTGCTTTTGTCAGTCTTTCACTGGGAGTTTCTTCCTTTTCCAATTGCAAGTCATCTTTCATGTCTTGAGTACTTGATAGATCCCCTATAGGCACAAAATCTTGCTTATCCAAAGCCACACCACCACCTTCATCACGGTTTCTCTGTGGACTAGTCTCTGGAACTGTGGCAGTCTCTTGCACACCTATTTGAACCGCTGCTTGGCAATTTGTCTGTTCCTCTTCAGCAGTTTCCTTATTTTGCAGTTGCAAATCGCTCTTCATGTCTGACGACACCAAATCTTGCTTCTCTACACCCGCAACAACTTCTCCAACTTGCTTACTCTCTGGACTAGTCTCTGAAATTATGGTAGTCTGTTCTTCCTCCATTTCAACTACTGCTTGTATGACTGTCAATTCTTTTTCAGCAGCTTTCTTGTTTTCTAGTTGCAAATGACTAGTATCCGTGCTTTCATTTGGAGACAAGTCATCCATTTCTTGGTTACTGGAAACATCCTCTGAAGACACCAAGTCTTGGTTCAACCAGAGCATAGCACCACCTCCATCTTGGTTTCTCTGTGGACTAATCTCTGGAACTGTAGCTGTCTCTTGCACACCTATTTCAACCACTGCTTGGATGTTTGTCTGTTCCTCTTCAGCAGTTTCCTCATTTTCCAGTTGCAAGTCACCCTTCATGTCTGACGACAACAAATCTTGCTTCTCAACATCTGCAACATCTCTAGCTTGGTTACTCTCTGGACGAGTCTCTGAAATTGGGGTGGTCTGTTCTTCCTCCATTTCGACTACTGCATGGATGTCTGTCAATTCTTTTTCAGCAGCTTTCTCATTTTCTAGTTGCAAACAACTAGTCTCTATGCTTTCATTAGGAGACAAGTCCTCCATTTCTTGGTTACTTGATACATCCTCTGAAGACACCAAATCTTGGTTCATCAAAACCATAGCACCACCTCCATCTTGGTTTCTATGTGGGCTTGTCTCTGGAACTGTAGCAGTCTCTTGCACACCTATTTCAACTGCTGCTTGGCAATTTGTCTGAACCTCTTCAGCAGTTTCCTCATTTTCCAGTTGCAAGTCACCCTTCATGTCTGACGACAACAAATCTTGCTTCTCTAAATCGGAAACAACATCTCTAGCTTGGTTACTCTCTTGACGAGTCTCTGAATTTGTGGTGGTCTGTTCTTCCTCCATTTCAACTACTGCTGGGATGTCTGTCCGTTCCTTTTCAGAACCTTTCCCATTTTCTAGTTGCAAAGGACTAGTCTCTATGCTTTCATTAGGAGACAAGTCTTGCTCCATTTCTTGGTTACTTGGTAAATCCTCTGGAGACAGCAATTCTTGGTTCTCCAAAGCCACAGCAACTTTGCCATCTTTGTTTCTATCTGAACTGTTCTCTTGAACAATGGCATTCAGATGTATCTCCATTTCAACTGATGCATTGCCGACTGTCTGCTCTTCTTTAAGACTTTCATCACTTTCTAGTTGGTAATAACTAGCCCGCGCACCTTCATTTGTGAGTATGACTGCTGTGACTTGACTGCTTGCTACTTCCTCTAAAGACAGCAAATCGCACTTCTCCAAATCAATGGTGGTATCTCCATTACTCTCTGGAACTGTGGTGGTCTGTTGTGCCTCCATTTCAACTGTCGCATTGCTGTCTGTGTGTTGTTCTTTCGCTCTTTTGTCATTTCCAAGTCCCAAGTGACTTGCCTCCGTACTTTCATGAGCAAGCATGTCGTCCTTTCTGTCTTGAGTGCTTGGTGCGCTCTCTAAAGACACAAAATCTTGCTTCTCCAAATCAGTGGCGGCATCGGCATTACGTTCTGGAACAGTTGTGGCCAGTTGTACATCCTCCATTTCAAGTGCAGTTTGGGTGTCTGTCGGTTGTTCTTTAGTGGCACTGGTATTATCCAGATGATAATGACTATCCTTGATGCTTTCATTAGGAGACAAGTGCTCCTTCATGTCTTGAGTAATTGGTATGTCTTCTGAAGACACCAAATATTGCTTCTCTGAAGCCACAGCAGCTTCTCCATCTTTGTTACCAACTAGATTATTGTCTAGAACTATGGTGGTCTGCTGTTCCTCCATTTCAACAGCTGCTTTGCCATCTGTCTGTTCCTCTTTTTCGCTTTCATCACGTTCCAGTCGCAAATGACTACCATCCACGCTTTCATTAGCAGTTACGTCCTGTTTGTCTTGAGTACTTGGTGCTTCCTGCAAGGACACCCATGCTTCCTTCTCCAAAGCAGTAGCGTCATCTCCATCACACTCTGAAAATGTGGCGGCCCGCTGTACGTCCTCCATTTCAACTGCTGCTTGGTTGTCTCTCGGTTGTTCTGTAGCAGTTTTATTTTGCAGCTGCAAAGGACATGCCTTCATCCTTGCAGACAACTCTTCCATGTTTTGAGTAATTGACATGTCCCCTGAAGACGCCAAATTTTGCATCTCTAAAGGTGTTGCAGCTTCTCCGTCTGCATCAGTCTGTGGAAAAGTTGTGGAGGGTGGGAGCTTCACCATTTCAACTGCTCTTTGGCCACCTGCTCCTTCTTCGGTAGCCATTGCCTCATTTTCCAGTTGCAAATGACTAACCTCCATGCATTCATTAGTAGACAAGTGCTCCTCCATGTCTTGCATACCTGATATGTCCTTGAAAGACACCAAACATTGCTTCTCCAAGGCTATAACAGTATCTGCATCTCCATTACTCTCTGGACTACTAATAGGCTCGTACACGATCTGGTTTTCCGCTTGTGACTGAGTGACTGCCTCGCTCTGCTCTTCTGAAGTTGTGGGTATAGTAGCAGTGTCAGCTGCTGGTGCAAAAACAACAACTTGGACCTCAGCGCTTTCAGAGTCATGATTACTGACTGTCTTTGCAGTAGTGTCTTCATCTTGCCATCTTTTCTCCTCTTCTAATGATGAATGGTCAGATTCACACAAGGCAAAGTGATCAAGACCAGGATTTCCCGAACCAACAGCAGCCAATTTAGCCAACCCGTCACCTTGAACAACACTTGTTACTGCATTAAAAGTGTGCGCTGTCTCTGGTATTACGTGCTTGAGCTGAACCTCAGAAATAACACACACACCGTCTGCATTCTGCACTTGTGTTTCCTCAGTAGAAGCTGGAATCAAGACAGAATCAGGTGCTACTGGTACGTCCATCTCTTCTTGGTTTACAGCAGCATTTGAACTGCTCGTGATGATTTCTGAGAATTCATTATTCTGCAAGAATATGTTCATGTGTTCATCCTCTTCTTCTTCTACCATTTCTACTTCTGTGACACACTGTATAGAATCCTTGTTATCATTTGCAGTGAAATCTGGACCTGTTTGAACTTCACATACGTCTAGAGCAAGTTCAGCGACTTCTTGCTTCTCGTCGGTTCCTGCTGGGTCAGAACCTAGCAAAGAGGCATCTTTACGGTTCTTTGTGGCATCTTCATTTGAATGATTTCTCGTAGCATCTTGACAAAGCTCATGTGGCAGCTCAGTTTCATGTCTTTCCAAGTGAGAAGTCTCCACCATTTGACCTTCCAGGTTTTGTGTCTCGGAAGAAGTCCCTGATGGTAATGTAGTCTTATGCTTCTGAACAAGTGACTCCTCATGCTCCATGTCTTCAGATACTTCTGCCCGATTCTCAAGGGCATTCAGTATTTTTGCCTCTTCCTGGTTTTCTTCCAAGACGGCTTTAGAAGGCGTGTCGACTGTTGGACGTACGTCAATTTCTGCTTGGACAACTTGATTTTCTGATTCATCCGGAGGGTTCACCAGGTCTTCAGTGCTTTGTATTTGGTGGTCAGGTGGACTCACAGTTGTAGCGACAGAGTCAAAATTGATCTTGCTTCCACAGTCATACATGTGGTAATTTGGATTTACGTCTCCCTTGTGTGCTTCTTCTGGTTTCTCTGTAACAGTGATATGTTCTTCAATTCCGCTGTTCTTGAAATTTTCAGGTAAAAAAACTTTTTGGGTAACATCAGTGGTGTGATCACTCACTTCTGGGCTCTTCTGGACGTTTGCATCTCGCACCATTTCTGCATTAGAAATGTTTGAGTCCTCTGTGATGTTTTCATTCATTTCGTCTTCATTTTGTAGGCATCCACCAATTCCAAGATTCATGTCACTGTGATTGTTTTGTTCGTTGTTATTAGAAGGGTCTATTTCCGATGAATAGGCAGGATGCTGCACGTTCTCAGAAACAGCTGAAGCCGTGGTGTTCATTTTGTTAATTGCTGGTGCAGAATATTCAAAGCACATATTTTCCTTTTCCAAACTGGAGGAGTTTCCGCTCATCATATCCTTATTTGCAGTGTCATCAACATTTTGGCTGGGTTGCTTATTGATTTCCTCCTGTAGTGATGCAGCATTTAATCTTCCCTCCGATGACTTTTCCACATCTGTCTGTGGCTGAGAGACAATGACATAGTCACGGGGCATCTCCATTGTCCTGTTTTGCTCACAGGCCACTTCACAGTGGGGTGTCAACACCTCAGTTATTTTGTTGATGCCATCACGTGAATTTGGCAATTGCTCCTTCTTTTCTTCAGAGGAATTCGGGAGGATTTGACTCTCAGATTCCATTTGCTTCTCCTGGACCCAACGTTTTGCATTAAAACTGTCTCTGAAGACCTCTTCAGTTTCTTGAGAAAGCGAAGGACTTGCTAATATATTGTCTTCAACGAGGTTTACTGGCTTTATATCAGACACCATTGATATTGCATTGATTTCTTCAGTTCGACTCTTTAGGGTTTCACCGAAGTCTTTAACTTGACTCACAGCAGTTAATTGGTCTACCAGGACTTCTCGTGGTGTGGGTTCCGTTGAAAGAGACTGATTTTCAGATACATATTTTTCAGTTTCTGGTTGACTACAGCACCCCACTGTTAGATTTTCTTGAACAGGGCTCTCGATATGCATTTCTTCAATTTGTGCATCAAGACTTCTGACGAGGACCTCTTGTGATGTGGGAACTTTTTCTTTCAAAATTGACAAATCTATTAACATTACTCCACTTTGACCTCTTTCGGTCCGATTATCATCAGCTGGACTTCTACTAGCCTTTAGTTGATCATTTGCATTAAGTCTTTCAATTAATACCTCTTGCGATGTGGGAACAGTTTCCTTCAAAATGGAAATATCTTCGGTCGGACTGTCTGGGTTTCTCTCGGACTCTGCACCACTTAGATTTGCTTTCACATGACTTGTTGGGTTCAAAGCAGATTCCATTGTATCAACGGTTTCGTCAGATGGATCGATTAGAATTTCTTGGACTGAACTCTCCGCAATGTAATTTCCTAGGAGGACCTCTTCTGGCACAACTTCGGCCTCTTTTGAAAGCGACTCAGCCAGACCTGTTGGGGTTCCACGACACTCAAGTTCAATTTGGCCCACTGGCTTTTTGTCCGGCTCCGCTGATGCCACATTTTCATCAGCAAGACTACCTTGATTTTCTTCGGTACATCTGTCTGAGTTGCTTTCTACCGCGATTGTAAAACCATCTTCAATCTCACTCGACGGATTTCGATAATACGGTGTTACTTTCTCAATATGACTATCCAAGTTGCTATCAGGGTCTTTAACAGTCGGGTTTTCTTTAGTCTGGCTCTCCGATGTGGATGTTAGAAGTTCTTTAAATTGACTCCCTGGGTTTCGGTCACAATCACTTTCTGGTAAAAGAGTATCTGGGCTTTTATTTGACTTGGATATTCGATTTTCTTCACTGCTAGTCTGAGGATTACAACTTTCTAACACAATTTCTTCACCGATGGTGGTCGGAGGCAATGGATCTTCGCCACATACATAATTAAGTCTCATTAAGACATCACCTGCCGTCATTTCATGCTTCTCCAGGTCTGTATTTTGTGTAAAATCCTGCTTTACCACACTCAAAATAGTCTCTCTAGATTCACAGCTGGAATCTGTCTGACAATTTGGTCCATGAACAAATGTTTCAAGATGTACATCTCCATTGCTGGAATAAAACGTTCTCAGTGACTGGCTTCTGATGGCAGCAGCAGTTGCTGAATTAGATTTTGTCAAGGACGATGCTTGGGCATGATTAGCAGTTGGCCTTTGGCCCTCTGCTTCTTTTCTGTCTTCTTCTTCAGCTGTGAATTTGATGTCAACAGTCGCACCTTCAAAATGTAACATTTCCTTTGTGTTTTTTTCTGTAGCATCCAAAATGCTGTTAGAACTGGAGTCTGATGCTCTACCGTAACTGTGGTCATTCTGTACAAATTCTGTTGGAGCGGACGCTAACTCATCACTCACCTGCGTTGAGTCAGAGCCCAGTTTGTTTTGTACTCGGCTTGAGTATTTCTGGATGCAACTCGGCTCATCGCTCTCTGTGAAAAGTCCATCCTTGCTGCCATTGCCGGGCATGTTGTCAACATTAAACTCTGCGTTTACATTGTCTGACGGAGCTTCCCAACAGGAGGCACTTGTGTGTTTGGCGATGGGCGTACCTAAAATACTGCTGATTGGGGTACTCTGTCGAGAGGACTTGGCCGGGTTCCCTTCCGTTGCTGCTGCTGCTTCTTCTGACAGTTTCCTCTTGGTCCGAGGAGCGACAGCGTCCATCATTTCATGCGTATGGATTTCTTTGAGAGATATGTTGTTGATCGCTGGTGCGGTTTCGGATTGGAGTGCTTCGCCATCGTCATCCAACCTCCTCGATTTCGCTTGAGGATCGAGGGGCTCTTCTGTTCCTCGCTTTGAGGCTGGCATTCTGTCAAAAACAATGAAACATTTTAGTGAAAGATAATTCAACTATATTTATGAAGCACTATAATAACAGGCATTGCTGCATACAAAGTGCTGTCTGTCAATGGGAGTAAAAAATTCGACAGATCAGGACAGTTAAAACAAAAGAAAGATAACAAAAACATTATCCTGTGGCGTGGGATGTGTTGAGTACAATTTATTTCTTCTCTCTGTTTAGAAAACAGTTGGGGCTGACAATCGTAATTGTAACATTTAAAGTTGGGTACATACACGCACGCACGCACGCACGCACGCACGCACGCACACACACACACACACACACACCAATTTTTTGGGCCATAAGTGAAGGCATGTGTGTATTCACCACTGACTGGTTGTCAGAAGGGGTCACACAATGAGCCACAATTTTGATTACCAATTCTATGAACCTTTTGAAAAAAGCAGAGATAAAACAAACTATTAAAGATCTAAGCTCTGTTTCACCAAAATCTCAGCCATCTTTGACTTTGAATTAAAGAGTCAAAACTTTCTTATATTTGTCCAAGCAAAATGATGCTCGTTAATCACTATAATTGTCTTTAAATTATAGATCTGATAATGTCACATGTGAATCAACTATACTTTGAAAGTGTACACACATTCCTACATAAGGTTTCTCTCACACGTTTTATATATAAGATGTTACAAATCCCCAAGCGTGCACGCTTCTCAAGTCATTTAACGTTTGATCCACTCATAAATACACCGAACAACTAAAATCCCCAAGCGTGCATGCATCTCAAGTCATTTAACGTTTGATCCACTCATAAATACACCGAACAACTACAGACGTGGTTGCTCCCTCCCAATGTTTAATGATCACATCCCAGCGGTGTTTGGTGGGTGACGAACGTCAACACTTGCCAGAAATGATACACAACAACGCGGACAACAAACGCGTCACGACACGCACTAGTTATGAGGATGGCATGTATATTTGTGCCCTAATAAAACATTTCAGTGGGCAAACAAGGCGAGTGGGCAGGGGTAGTGATACTAGACAAGGCAGCGAGTTCGCAAATAGTGGCTAAAGTGTTAGCTACAAGTGCGGTGCTGCTCATAGAGGCTAAAGCTAAGTTAGCAACTCGGCAACAAAACGCCGCTCGCGTGTCAAATAAACAAAGCAGCAGCCCCACACACACTAACGGGGGTAGTAACAAGACGTCCCACGTGATAATAACGTCAGCAAAAGGACAGAAACGACGAGGAAACTCACTTTGATGCGTTCTTTATTTCGTATACACCAGCTGTTTTTGTCCCCCTTTCGTGAATAAAAATTAACTGTACTTCCGGAGACTGACGGCGGATGTGATGTCACGTTATTCCGCTACCTACATTTTTGTTTTGAAACAATCTGTGGATGTCGCACAATCAGCAAATAAAATAAATATAAGTAGAAACAAGAACAAGATTTAAAAAAAGCAAAAAGGTCCCCACATTTTAGTGGGTTCTAAAAAATGTCAGATGTCCATTCAAGTTGGTGCAAGGGTGTGCAAGAAATCCGTCCATTTTTCAATGCCCTTGTCTTTGAGTCCTTGCTGACATTATGATGAAAGAAGTGTAATGCAATCTGAACTGGTCCCCAGCCAATTGCCAGACATGCATCCAAATTATATCTGATTTTAAGAGAGAATCCTGGCATACCCAGGACTGGTCACCAGTCAATCAGAGGACACAAATGGACAACCATTCACAAATATGGACAATCTAGTTTTAAATGCATTTAACATGCATGTTTTTGGAACTTGGAAGGAAGCCTGAGTAACTGGAGAAAACCTAGCCAAGCACAAGGAAAACAATCAAGCCAAAACAAATATGTGAGGCAGACATGCTAAACACTTGTTCAACACCCTGCACTCAGAAATGATTTAAAAATAAGTATTACATCATCTCCAAACACAAACAATAGCCCACGTTTTTTTTAATTAGATTTTATTTGGTTATTTAGGGTCTGGCAAATCATATCAGCAGCAAGTTTAACAGCGTTGTTGTTTGTTATTTTTTCATCTCCAGGATGCTGCTTCCTGGCCCACGCCTCTTTGCGCTGCAGATGTTGCAAAACTGCACTCCGGGAGTCTAGCCCAAAACAAAAACAAAAACAAAAAAACAAAAATAAGAAATCTCTCTCTCTCTCTCTCTCTCTCTCTCTCTCTCTCTCTCTCTCTCTCTCTCTATATATATATATATATATATGTGTAATAAACATTTTCATGCAGGATAATTATGATTTTAATATTTCTAACCGTTCCCATGGAGGGTAAACATTCCTTATGAAACATGTGTCTGCAGTAGAACACCACCACGCTGAAAGCTTTGGCCATGTCTGAAACACAAGAGTACACAGTGGATATAAAAATTATATACACCCCTGTCCAAATGTCAGATTTTTGTGACAGAAAAACATGTGATTAAGATGAACATCTGAACTTTATTTGGATTAATCAGAGGCATTATAAATGGTGGCAAGTGTGTGCTGACTTTAACAGGAGTGTACTGAGGCTAGTGGTTATGGCTGTGTTCAGAATCAGCCAATCAGATTCTAACTCATGTGGAAAGCCAACAAGAACATCTGAACTTCATTTGTGGTTAATTATGGGCACTTTAAATGGTAGCATGTGTGTACTGACTCACATTTACGACTTCAATAGGCAGATTTCCCTTTTGTTTCTGTTAAATTCTGTAAACTGTGTGGAGTTTGCATGTTCTCCCCATGATGGAAAATGCTTTCAAAATCTTTGAACATAGATGTGTAGACTTTTTCTATCCACTGTATTTGTAAGCTAGAAATAAGATAAAGTGTTCCCGTGCAACATACCTGAGGGTAAAATCGTCACATGGCACGATTCACAAATGTTCTCCTCTGCAAAGAAAAGCCCACAAAAGTATACATGAGTTTCAATATGATAATACTAGGACCCGACCAAGTTTTTTTGAGGCCAATGCCAATTCCAATATGTGGCAGAAAAAAATTCTGATAACTGATTAATTTGCTGATTAATTAAAGAATATAGAATGAATATATACTGCGATTGACTGGCAACCGGTTCAGTGTGTCCCCCGCCTACTGCCCACGACCAAAAAGATTTTGCTGTCAAAGCAATATCATGCTCAGAAGCTTCGGCAGCACCAACGCAACACAATAATCCAACATTGTTGTGGTAAATGTTGGACTGTTGGTGAGTTGACGTCAAGGGACAACTGAGACAAACATGCCATCTTCTCGGGAAAGGTGTGAATGAAGTCAGAGCTCCCTCGAAAGGACAAACGTCGCAAGGACATCCTTCTGTACAACTCAAGACACCATCTCGTCTTTCGTGATCGAGTAAGAGCATAGCAGCTTTTAATTGGCAAAACTAGAGCTGACTATACCTTTTTTTTAAAGGGCTCAAATCGGACGGTAAACAGATGAATGGGTCAGGCTGTAGAAAACATCACCAGCAAAAAGTGCACCGACCGTCCACCACGATGCCTCTGCTCTGCGTACGATGCATCTTCTGAAGCAGCGACAGCGAGTCGGCCACCAGAATTTTCTTACATCCTTCGCGTAGCATAATCTGTTGATGAAGAGGAAATACATTCTTCCGCCATCTAATATGAATGAATAAAGCATTCTATATTTAATATTATTTGGAGAATATTTGAAAAGAAATATTGCCGTTATCACTTATCTGTAAATATTTTTGAGCAGATAGATAGATAGATTCCACAATATTCTTTTTTTTTTTAAATTAGAATTAAATGTAAATACAATGTTAAATAATTGTGTTTGCAATTGAGTTGCGATTGTATTTGGATTAATTTAGTCATTTTACAGCCAAAACATCATTGTTCTGTAAGAAATAGGATGCGAAAGGAGGATTGCAAATAAATTCAGAAAGCAAATGTGAGCACGAACCTGCAAGTTGTAGTCATGGAGAATCTTGACGAGGGAATCCCTAAGGTTGGGGATCTCCATGCCCTCCTTGATGCGATGGATCAACAGAATGGGGTCCACGTGCGTGCCGATGTTGTTCAGCAGGCCTGTGATGAACGCTGGCGACGCAAACCAAAAGAAAGTTGTGTAAAACTCATCAGGCAAAACGAGAGCATACTGCGTGACATTTGTCAGGGTGGCCGTGTCAAAGACGGTGGTCGGGCTACTCACGTGGCTTGTCGATGGAGTAGGTGATGAGATCCTCCCACAGCTCGGCGTCGTCCTGCTCCTTGGCAAACTCGATGGCTTTGTCCACATTCTCCAGCTCCATCATGATCATCTGCAGGGCCCGTCTGCAGTTTCCCATCCGGCCTGTGGAACCACTTGCGTTCAGTCGATTCCGGCACGGATGCGGCAAAGCAAATGTCAAGATTTATTCTTACTGAGCAGAAAGACGGTCTCCTCCACAAAGTGTCTCTGCTGGCAAACTTCCAGAGCCTGCAAGAGGAACTTGCTAGATCAGTGGTGGGCACTCCCAAAATTGTTACTAAATAAACAAATAAGTATGGATACAAAACATTTAAATAAAAAAAATAAAATAAAAAAAAGATATTTTTTTTAGAATAAATAAACTTTAAATATGAAAAAATAAGGAGAGAAATTAACAGAAAATATACATTTAAACTAACCTATTTTTGGAAAAAAATTGTGCAAATATTACAGGACTTGACTTGTATATGGTCGAGATGTTTTTCCAGGTGTGCATCCCTTGATGCCTGAATTGACACCACGATTTGCGACAATAGCCGTCCAGGGGTTAATAGGACATGTACCTTCTCCAGCGGGCAGTGTGTGCTGTCTCTCAGGAAGGGCAGCAGATTGGGCCGGTCAAATTCGGCATACAAGCCGATCTGCTTCTCGTGATACTTTTGGCCTTTGTGGTGGTCCCGCTTGAACAGTTTGTGAAGGTACTGCCCGGGGACAAGCGAAAGTACTTTCAGCGCTAACTCAACAACAACAAAAGGAGGAGGAGGAGAATAAGGGTTGCCCACTCACCACATGAAGAAGCTCAGGCCTGTCTGCTAATTCCTGCACCACTCTGTCTATCTAAAGTAAACGGAAAAAAAAAAAAAAAACAATCAGTGAGCATCATAGTTATACTTACAAATGACGAACATGATGTCGTGCTCACTGATATTTTGTCTTCATTGTCCAGAAGCATGTCCACAGCTTTCTGCACACACAAAAACGTCCATCAGGTGACAGTGGTCGCCGTGGTGACGCAGGATGCAAGACCAACCTCTGTGTCAAAATCCATGAGGAGCACGATCTTGTCCTCGATGGAGGAGAAGAGGTTGTGCTTGTGGATGAGCTGGTAAACGTCTTTGTGGCGGAGACGCAGGTAGATCTCCAGCGCGCGGTCGTAACGCTGGTCGTACGTGTAGCTGCAGGCAAAAAAAATAAATAAATAAAAATTAAAAAAAGGACAAATCATCATTTCATTTCATTTGCTGTGCAATAAATACATTCAAATTGTATCTGTCTAATATATAATTTTCAAGTTTATATTTAATTCCTATCAAGTCCTGTAAATTCTCTTTGGTCCAGTATTTCCCAGTTGAGGTTCCACTTTTTGCATCCAAAATTAGGCTTATGGAAATGACATTTTGACTTGATTAAATGTGATTGTCTTCATAATGAAAGATTTTATTCAATTAGTTGATTAAAATGAAAACACTTTTTTTGAAAAACTTTCCATTTAATTCCTTTTAACTTCTATTTTACGAATATGGCGACTCACAGCTCGGCCAGTGTGGTGAGCAGGGTGGCGTTCATAGGGTGCTTGCTCAGGTGGTCGGTGACAGCCTGCACAATGGCCATGTTGTTGTAAAGCTCTCCCGGCCACTCCCGGATCAACGTGGCGAAACCCTAAGTGGGCACGCGGGTGGAGAAAACGCACTTTTGAGGACTTGAGAGGCTTAAATGCGCAACACTTGCCCATTCAACTTGGAAGTACCATACCTCGTAGTCCGTTTGGAGGAATTCATGCAAGATCATTTCGTAGATGGCCGGCCGAAGACGCAGGTCGCCTCTGGGTAAATACTGACTGACGGCCTACAATTGAAGACAAGCAAAATTGTTGTTTTGAAAACTGAAATTTGATGTTACTTGACTGTGACTTACCTTCAGTTGTCCGATGGTTTTGAATCTGTACACCTCATTTTCCCACAGTTCCATGTTTTTCCCGAGAATCTTTTGGCACTTCCTGCATGAGACATTGGGATCTTATACTTCAGAGTGCAGGTGTACCTTATGCCAATAGCTATTATTAAAAAGAAACCTGGCGGCGCCGTCGTAGTCGCCCTTCTCCACCAGGTGGTTGATGTAGGCCATGCCGATCTTTTGCACGTCGTGTCTCTTGATGTTTTTGAAGCTGATCTCGGCGGCCATCAGCGCCTCCTCGTACTTCTTCTTGTCCAGCAGCCAGTCGATGTGGTCGTCCTGGTCGCGCTCCTTGGCCACCACCACGTCTTTGGGGCTGACAATGTAGAACAGCGACTCGCCCTCCGAATGCTCTGCACACCACAACAGATTAGATATAACTTATCATGAAGCCAAGCTACATGAAGAAATACAATCAAATCTTTTTTTTGGGGGGGGGGGCTGTTAAGATACGGTTTAATTCACTATTTGTGACTTTCAACAAGCACCATTCATTTGTTTCTGGACGCAGAGCTCCGTCTCCAATAGCAGCACATAATGTTGCTGGATTTGCTGTGACGGCAGTCTCACCGAGACGGTAGTCGCGACACTCGTTCTCCTGGTAGTTGCGCACGGTCAGGGCGTCCGACGAGATCTCCTCGCACGACTCGGGCAGAGGCTGGATGATGTCGAGACGAGGCCGCGCAAGGAACTCCACATCCTGGCGCCCCCCCGAAACAAACATTAAAAATATGGTCCCAAATCCTTTTGGGTTTTGCTTACCATGTGCTCAGGGTTCTCCTTCACAAAGAACAAGGTGACCAGCTGATCAGCCAGGGGCGCCAGCCCGCTGATGAAGAACTCCGTCTCGAAGGCGGAGAC